TTCATGTACAGTACTGTATGGTTCAATTCGGAAACAGTGTATAGTCTACCGGCAGTAGCAGTGGTGGTAGTTTATGCGAATTAACAATACCCAATGATTCTTCGAATAATATTTTGAAATTGTGCGCACCTATGCTAGGTGGTGCACGTGGTGTCACTCGGTGGGCGCAAGTTATTCGGGAGGATTAAATGATGGCTACTTGTCTTTGTTGGGTTATTGGGATTCCCGTGATCTCAGCGTTGTCCTCAGATGTAGAAACCACCCACGATCTCATTTGTGAGTTCTCCCGTTGACCCAAACTCCCCAGAGATCAATGTTCACAACCTCTCACTCGATTACCACTCCATACCTGCGTCAGACAATACCTTCCATCAATCCCCCTAGATCCTCCACATCATGTATTTCATTCACACACTCACCCCCACCCCCCTCCGTACCAACCGTAACACACAACCCCACTACTCAGGGCTAAAAGCACAACGCCCCAACCCAAGGCATTCACACACACCCCCCACCCAACCCCCCAGGTTCTACAAACCGGCCCCTAAAAAAACACCATACGTCCCGTCCAGCAACTGACCAATCATCCATCTCCCAAGCAGCCCACCCCCGCCACGTGACCCAGCAAGTCATCGCTACCCCGGCATCGCGCCGTGGAGCAGTCGGTGGTCGTGCGTCAACACCAAAGTATCATACCGCAAGGACAAACTTTACACATCGACGTATCATACCGGCCGTGAGTTTTGCCGCGACGTTTTACCCAAGTCGCCCACGAACACGATTCTGGGTGCCCGTACAGTTCTTTGGGATAGATAGATAGTACGCGGTGGGCGGTAGGTATTCGGGAGGGGGGGAGGTTATTTGTGTATTTTTGGTTTTTTTTGGGGGGGATTTTATGGTATCATACTTGGGTTTTCTGGTTTTATATCTTTGAGGGTATCGTAGTTATGATACGAGTAGTGATGCCTTGGTTGGCTGGTACGGTAACTTTGGAATAGGTTTTGTTATTGGGGGATACTGGTACGTAGCCTGGGGTTATAATATACTGTGGGTTGGGGACTTCGAATCTCCTTGCTGTATTGCACTTGTAGCACGAACGCACGGAAGGGGTAATTTACATTACTAGTTTCATAATTTTTTCCCTCTGTTGAGGGAAGCGGGGCAGTCCTGGGGCCGTGTGGTGCTAAGGTATCGGTACGATGGGACACAGTCCATCGCTGGCTAGTTCTGCCCCCGGTAGCAAAGCACCAGCCCAGTTTTGTCGTTCGCAACTAAGCTAAATTGCCACGGACGCCACAGCCAACGGGAATAGCAATAGTAATCATAATGGCGGTAATGGCAATGAGAATATGTAAGCTAACGTGGTTCAGCACCTTGATTGCTATGTGCTGCACATGTAATTCCACAATATGGTTACCACCTAAACAAAGTATTGCAGCCTAACTTGTGACAATACGGCAACTCGCCATGTACTCGGGGACTGGTGGGCAGACACACGACTGATGGTAAAGGGTACGATACATTAAACAAGGAGGATAGCTAGCAGGAATTCAGTATTTGTGTCGTTGAGACGTGATTGGTCAAAAGCCGTTCCGAGCTACTAAACGGGAGGCGAAAGAATGAAAAGGGGGAATGAGAAAAAGTGAATGGGAAAGGAAAGGTGAGGTAGTATGAGACCGAATACAACAATTTTATATGCATATCGAGTGGAAGGTGAGGTATATTGAATGGTGATGCGCAGTACACCATGCTATCTCTCGACTCCAGCACATGTCGCTTTTTCAGTACGTTCGGAAGTGGAAGGAGGGGGCAATTGTAATGAGATGAGGTCGGTGGTATGGGCAGGCCTCCCGAAGCTCACGCCATTAGCGACTGGGTAGGCCTTTTCAACACCATTTTTCTGAGTGTGTTGCTGCTGCTTTTGGTTCCCCCCAGAGACTTTTGGGGAGACCGCCGTCTCCGCTGCTTGGGGATTCTCATCTTCAGTATCATCCTCGCCTTCTTCCCCTTCGGATCCATCCTCCGAGGCATCATCGTCATATCTGTCCGATTCCTCGTATTCAGAATCGACTTCAGAGTCGTCTTCCTCTTCTTCCTCCTCTTCTAGCAGTTCCCCTCCTTCCCCTGCGCCACCAACACTGCCTCCTCTTCCACCCCCTTCCTGATCGCGAAGTTTAGTGTCAAGAGTAGTGCGCTCGGCTTGGAGTGCTCGACAGAGGTTCTCGAGTTTGGAGTTCTTTTTCCTGAGTATTTCGAGTTCCTTCTGGTGTTTTGTACGCTCCTCGGCCATTTTCAGGAGGTTTCGGTTCGTTGTGTCACTCTTGCGAGAGAGAGTGAGGTTTTCCTTTTCAAGGCGCTTAGTCTTTTTGGACATTTCTTCCATTTCTTTGCGGAAAGTGAGGAATAGGTCATTGGAGTTATTCAAGGTATCTTCGACCTGCGGAATTAATTGAAGAAAGAGGGACAGTGACTTAGTTAGCTATCTAGTTTTTCAATCTAGTTTACGAATCTCGAGAGTCTAGTTAGGATAAGAGAGCCTACCTGTTTGAATTTCTCAACATAGATATTTAACTGCGATCTCAATTCAGCCTCTGTTTGGGAAAAGGTTGAGACTTGAGCGTGTAGAGCCTTAGCACGGTGTGCTTCCTGTTCAGCCTGCTTACGCTGCTGTTCATAACGGGCGAGATTCCATTGGACTTCGAGCTCCTTGGTGCGAATAAGAGAATAGCAGTGGAGTTCACGCATCTCATATTGATCGACAAAGCTCTTAAATTTTGCTTTAAATCTTTAGGTAAAATATTAGTTGCCGGTGCCTTGCGCATGCATGCATGCATACATGCGTGTAAAGGTGATGAGGGATGGATGTTGGCATACAATTCGTCAACTCCTGCATTAACTTTACGACTCCCACCGTCGTTTTCTTCCTCCATGCGGTTTTTGATCTCCGTAATCGTATTCTCGAACTTGTTGGAAAGTTCTTCACGTTTCTGCTGTTCATTTTGAGCAAGTTTCTTACTCTCATCCTGCGTTTCCTGGAGTTCAGTAATCTCAGAACACTTGGCCTAATCCCTTCGCATCGAAATTGGATATTTGCTTTGTACGTACCTTGATGCGTTTGTTCTCTTTTTGAAGTTCCCGACATAGTGTTTCGAGCTTGTGTTTCATAGAGACCGCTTTTTGCATCTCAGACCTCGAGTGATCCTTTTCTTTTTGCAATTGATCGGCACGTTTGCGTGATTTGGCGTAATCCCGTTCCAAACGTTTCATCTCATAAAGAAGCTCGCTGTACTTGTTTTGGATGGCGTCCACCTTGGCTAGATGATCTTCCCGAGAAGATACAAGCTCTGCGAGTTCTTTATTTGCCCTACGAACAGCGCGGGCTGGTAGTAGTCAGCATTTGCATTACCTTCTGCTTTGCGAGAGAGGAAAGCCATCGCACAGATTGCCTTTTCCTCCTCTTCTTCCAATGATGCATCGGTCTCTAACTGTGATATTTTCGCAGTCAACAGATTGTTGACCTGGACGCCATCACTCAAAACAGAGCCACCCTAGTCAGCTCCATTCCTCCGAATAAAATATAAAAGGATTCCAAAGGACTGAAATTGTCCTTCCCACACACAATCGTGTTCTCACCTCCATTGGATCCAACGGCTTCTTCGACTTTGGCCCGGTGTTTGGTGCCTTCTTATTCGGGGGGACTGACCCAGGTGCGGACCCTGCTGGAGCTGTGGTAGGAAGAGGAGGGGTGGCATTGGACGAGGTAGGCTCAGAGACAGGTCCGTAATCATCGGTTGACGGGACAGGTACTTCGAAGCTACTTGGTCCCGACCCTGCCGCTCCTCCGCCCGCACCGGTGGGAGGTCCGGAGACCGGGTGACCATAACCTGCAGACGCTCTGAGTAACGCATATCGTTGAGCGCTCGGCACGGAGGAGGTATTTGCAACAGCAGCCATAGTAAATTAGTCTAAGGGTAGGACAGTCTGATCGCCAAATAAGCAATCTGTAATATGCGTGAAGCGGGGGTGGTGGTAGATTGAATGGTATCGTGCGAGGAGCGGGGTGATGGCGCTACACATGCAAGGGAGAAGGGGCCAGAGGGGAAAAAAAAACTTACAAGATTAGTATAATTTAGGATGTTTGTAGGAAGAAATTTCCTTCCTAAATGTACCGATACTCGAGTACTTGTACTTGTTAGGGTACCTGCTAAGTTAGCCGCAACTTTTTTGCTTTTTTATCTTGTATCACAACAGACCTCCGTCTTGTAGCGAGATGGGAGAATGAAAAGGAAGGGAAATTACTGTCAGCCAAAGGTTAAGAGTATTGTAGTCTAAAGATGTTATGGAGAACAGGGGAGGTGGGAATAGGCGCAACCAGTGTTTGCGGACGAGGAAGTTTTGTTGCTCCTACGTTTGACGGTGATGGGTGACGACGGACACCTATCATAACTTGCGGCGGGCGATCTAGCAATAATTGGTGGTGGCGGTGCAGATGACTTTTACTGTAGCGACTCTGTGGCTGGGTGCCAAGCCTGCAAGAAAGAGTGTGTTTAAACTTGTACATAGGGTGTGCGCAAAAGTCTGTCGAACTCGGTGCTTATAGGCTGAGTTTACTATGGGCATGCAAGTTGCCTGCATGTGCTATTGGTTGGTTACTTCATAATTTGTAGTCAATCCCATTGGGCACCCAGTGGGCTTTCGCGTAACCATGATGCCCGGGAGCGTTATCCTCCACCACCCTTGTCCAGCCATATTCCTCACATGCTTGATGCCAAAAGGGTATTAAGTATGGCATCATGACATTGTCCCTGTATTTTGTTGAGTTCAAAGTACTGCCAGGAGGGACAATATAGAGCTCAGACCTGATCTCTCCACAAAAAGCACCCCAGACCACGATGCTTTTCCTCCCAGAATGTCAAACCTCATCAATACAGTCAGGATGGAATTCCTCCTCTGGAAGGCAAGTAACCTAAGGCCAATGTGAGAAACCGGCTGTGCTGAAGGTTGACTCGTCTGTCAAGACAACTAGTTTCCACTCCTCCTCTGTCCACTCTAAGTGTGCCCAGTACCACTCTATACACTTTGATTTATTTTGACTCCATATATTCAACCTTTAAAAACATTAATTAAAAGAATACTAGTAGAACTACAGTAACAACTAGAATAATTAGACCTCATGTTAAGACATCTAGAACCCCCCCGTTTGGATTATAGAAAAAAATAAAGCTTACTTTTTATATGGAAGACACTTGTGGTATCCTATAGATGCCATAATATCCCTCAGAGTTCATACCAAGCAATTATATTACACCTTGAGGATAACCTCTTCCCACTGCAGATACCAAGTGTATTTATCTTGTGTGATGAAGACACACAGCTGGGTTTTCTCGACGTCATTAAAAAATCAGGGGGTGGTCAGATCGTAACCAGTTCAATGGCGAGTTGGATAATATTGCTCTCTTATATCTTTCATGGTATGTTTGGAAGTCTAAATTCATCTGAATCGTAATATTCTGTCTATGGTGAGTTGCTAATCTTTTTTATCTATTTAGTTACTTCAATACCTACCTTCCAGGTAATACCTACTTTATCACATAAAGTGATAATCTACATGTGCTCATCCTGAGTTGTTTTCCAGCCCTTTACACTCTACCCTGCAGGCACATAATCTTGCCAACGGCGTTTTACCCTCATGTCTTGTCACTTGATCGAGAATAAAGTCAAAAAATTAAAAAAAATAGCTAAATATTGTATTTTCACAGAGGTGGTAGTTGTAATTAGTATGAGTACTTGATTATTAGTTTTTGTTAGGAATACTGGGATTCGATACCCAGAGGTCACCCTAAGTAGGGTAACCTTACCTGGAATCGGAATCTCTGGTCTCCAACACCCCCCTCTGGCTCCCTTATGGGGCCCGTATATCATTATACATATCAATCTCAGTTGCGTCCTGTGACTATAATACTACAGAATTGAAGGTCTCAGAATCACACTGTATACGTCACTGTTGTCCATCCGACTGGATCCTATTCGCAGCTCATATAAGAGGGGACATTCGGCTAGGTCTGAGAAGTTAAACGGAGTGGATCCGCCAACTACTCAGAATGTTACTAGGCTTCAAAGATGTGATACCTTTGGAATAGGCTGTAAGTAACGGGACGTTTCTGCATAAAGAGATGGTATTGAATGGTAAAGGATCTTAACAAGAGACCAATACATTCACACCCACCCTACAATATCTAGAAGAGTCTAGAACTCTGAGAAATACTACTATAGAAGTTATTAGACTTCATGAAGTGTTGTAACCAGGTTTTGGAACATGTTGTAGGTATGAAGACAACTTCTCATACTACAAAGGTGATTGAAATCCTGTTACCTAAAAGCAACCAAGGGTTGCTGACTGAGGGAATAATTGTCAACCTGATAGAATAGCTTTCTGCGAATTAGTAGGAAGCCTTCTGGAAGACATTTGTCGGTTGGATAAGAAGTTATGGAGGTTTAAAGTCAGACGACCAAGAAAGGTTGTGATTCTGACCACCTTCACAGATACAACCCACAGGTAAAACTGATCATTTCATCAATAATGAAGACCATTGGAGCCAACTCAGTTCAACTTGAGAACTAGGCCACAAGGCTAAAGACTCTAAAGATCGGATAACTACTATTGGGAACAGTATAGTTCCGAGTTAGTTATATCATAATTAGCAAAGAGGGTATGGTGAATTTCAGGGTCTCCAAGTATTCGCACCTTTCAAGAATACCCAATGCTGTGAGTTATAATCAGAAAGGTACATAGTGGCATGATAAATAGAAGTAGTCCACGAATACTCAGACACGGAATATAAATATCGAAGTGCCTCCCAAAGCTATAGACATTATCAAGTAATGGAGAAGAGATCTTAACAATATAATATTATTTCTACAATTCAATCTTACTTTACCAAATTTACTTCGCTCTTATTAATCATAAACATAAAGAGTGAACTCGAGCCTTTCCAGACAATCTCTGTCTACAGAAGCGAATTTCGATTGGACTAGACAATTCTGAAGTCTATCAGGTTGTCTCTACCTGTCACGAACATGGCTTAGCACGAAAAAGGGTTTCTCGTGACACATGATTATGAGTCACAGGTATGTTATTGTTTTGTACATATGACTCATTCGGGTTATATGATTTGTTATGTGTGGGATTTGTAATGCTTTCGCACATGGCTCAAGTATGAGTCATGGTATGTGCGCCTGACGAGTATGCCTTGCGAGTGTGCCTCGCAGGTAAGCCTTGTGCATATGATTTATGTTTCGTACATGACCTCATTATGAGTTCATGGGTTTCACGCATATGACTCAGTTGAGTCATATGACTTGTTTATTGCGTTATAATTGGTTTATGAGTTTTTGTACATAACCTCGCTATGAGGTCATGGGTTTTGAGCATGTGATCACTTTGGTCACATGACTAATTTGTTACGAGTTGGTTTTGTACATGTGACCACTTTAGGTCACATGACTACGGGTGGGAAGAATACTATATAAGGAGGCCGATGCAGCCGAGGAAGATAGGTTCTTTACGCTTTGTTCTAAGTACTTTTCCTACTTATTACTTTAACGAATATAAAACATCCTTACGATCTTTATCTTTATTGCACCGTTATTGTTACGAAATGAAAAGTCCTTTACGAAGATGAGTTAGAGAAAACTTACGATAGGCGTTTTCGATAGAAGACAAAGGCCTTGTACTATCGGTAACGTAGGCAGCGGCCTAGTGCTATCGTAAGACGAAGGAAGAAGAAGAAAGAGAAGTATCGTTCCCCATCACCAAGAACTAACTATCCATAGAGGGAGCGTTACATTATAAAGTGTCACCTAAGTGCGACGACAAACGATACAAGACGCCATCCTTCAATCCAGACAGGGAAGGAGATATTGACATCGACAATCAAAACCTTAACCTAGGAGGATTCAGCGACGCCTTAAATCACGTCTCGGCAGAACCCTCAAGAGCAGCAAGCCCAGTAACCCCAGAGAAAGGATCACCAGTCGATAGCTCTCCTGCAGGAACTCTACGACCCGAGAGAATGTTGGGATCCGCAGTACCTGGGCCACAGGCCCCAGCCGCTCCGGCACCAGGAACCAGCATACTTGGAATGACTGAAAATCAGTTTCAGGTATTTCTCGCAGCCACACGAAATACAGGGCAAGGAAATGTCCAAAGACTGAAAGCAAAGGAGTCCGACACATACGAAGGAGCCAAAGACAAGCTACGAATATTCTTAGCCCAATGTGAAGAATATTTTGCCATCAAGGGATATGGAGATCACCATAATGAGATCAAGATTCCATACGTGGAATCTCTACTCAGGGGACTTGCGGGATAATGGATCATCCCTTTCCAAGATGGAAGGAAGCAGAGAGAATAGGTCACATACGAAGAGTTCAAGCTGACACTCTTCGAATATTTGGAGATCCCAACATCAAAGAAACAGCAAGACGAAAGCTAGAAAAACTCCAACAAGAAAAACAAACATTCTTGGCATACTGGAATGAATGCCGACTATTGGAATACGAGGCCAAGTTTGATGATGCTACTCTCTACATCATCCTCCTGAGAAACTACAGCGAGAGACTCCGAGAGGTATGGGGAATCTCCGACCTGCACTATATGACAGCCGAACGATTTGCAAGATGGGCAATTGATAAAGAAAGCAAATTAAACATGGTTCGAAGCAACTCAGAAAACACTATAGCTCACAGGGTGGTCCAATCGTCCAGGAATGTGGACGGGACCTTCAAACCACAAGCAACTTGAGGAGAAAGTCGAGCATTACTACCAGGCGAGTCAATGGAGTTAGACAAATCAAGAGCAGGACCTGCTCTGAACCTGTCTAAGGAAGAATATGCCAGAAGAATGAACAGGAAACTCTGCCTGAGGTGCGGAAAAGCAGGACATCGGATATGAGACTGCAGAAGCCGACCCGACAATGGATACCAAGGAAACAGAGCTGCTGGAAATAATCGTTTCCAAAATCAAAAAAGGAGCAACATTCGTGAAATGATAGCAGAGGATTCAATGGCGGAAAATGACGAGGGTTCCCAGTAAACGGTGGTTTGGGAGACCCAAGATGTGGACCTAGAAAACCCATCAAGGTAGTGAACTACTACATCGCACTACACACGTAAAGAGGAGAAGAAGATGGAGATCATGTGATGATCAAAACAAAGATATACAATGAAGAAAATAAAGAAACAACAATAGATGCAATGTTCGACTCTGGGGCCACTGAAGACTTCATTGACAAAGAAATATGCGACAAATACAGTCTCCACACCAAACAAGCGAAGAAAGCGAGACAAGTCTACTTAGCGGATAGAAAGCCAAGCGCTATGGGTCCTATAACCCATACGGCGACAGTA